GCAGTGCAGGCAGCCCTGCCTTCACACCGAGAGCCCTGCCCAGCCCAGCCCTGCCTGCCTGCGCTGCCTGCGTTTTGCTTGCTCAAGCTTGGTGTTCAGAATTAAACCGTAAATATCACACTGATCACCAGCTGATTCGACGGGAGATTAGATGGGATGAGCTCAGCTTCTTAAAGTTAGGCAGCTCTGACATTAGCAGAGCTTAAGCCCGGGCAGGATTTTAAGCCTCAGGGGTGTGTGGGCAGGGCCGCCTTTTTACACAGCCACAGGGATGCTGGGGAGAAAGAAGCAATTGATATGGGGGGGGGGGGATGATCCTCTTCCCCACTGGAAAACAAGGGATTAGTCCCAAACACAGGATCTTTGATGCCCTCAGGTGCTGCGGCATGTGGAGCTCAGGCATCCTCATCCCCAGGGTTCCTTGGGCAGCAGCAAGAGAAGATGCGAAGGGAGCGGGAGCAGAGCGGTGCCGTGGGCTTGGCCCTCAGCACAGCCCGGGAACTGGGGAGAGGGCGATGAAAGGTGGAGGAGAGAAGAGCTGAACTCCTCCTCTGCCTCTCCCAAGCCCCAGAGAGGGGCACTCGGGCCCCTCCTGGCATGGCTAACCTCTCCCACGCTGCTACCCGGCCCCTCCACCCATGCCCTGCGGTTTGGCCATGCTGAAATCCTTTTGACCAGATTTTTTCCCCTTTCAGCCCTAAACCGCCCTCCTTCCAGCCACAGTCCGGCACCAACCTCCCTGCCCCCAAGTGTTTTCCAGAACAGCAGAGTCGTGCCCCAAAGTGCTGGCAGGTCCAGGCAGCAGAGCAGCAGTGCAGGCAGCACTCACCTGGCTGATGGATGGATTGATGGATAGAAGCTCTCCTCTTCCTCTCCCAGCACGTCCCACTGCCACCCAGTCACTATGGGCTGCTCCCAGTCCCGCAGCTTCTTATACCCCCCCGGCAGTCCCTCCCCTGGCCTCTGATCTCGCCTGCTCGGCTTTGGCTGGAGATGCAGGGGGGG